AAATTTAAGGTCAATGGCCACAGACTAAAAATTTTTCATGCAAGTGAAGGATACCAAGAGCAAACTATTAAGGAACTCAGCTTGCATGATCCATTCCAACCTCCATAAATGAGGGAGTTTCTTTATCCTCTCCTTTTATTTCACTTGTCGTAATTTACATTGCATAACATTGAGGACAATGTGAGATTTAAGTGTGGGGGGGATTATTCGTTAGATGTTTTTGTTATTTTGGGTTTTATGTTTGGTTGTTATGTAAAATTTTGCATGTTTCTCTTTGATTTCTGGGTTTTGATAGTTTTTAGGCACTTGCTTCACTCTAAGATATGAGTTACTTGATGTTACATGGATTGAAATCCCTGTCTTTCTCTGCTTGTAAAGTTGATTATGAGGTTTGAGAGGTTGAATTGAAGGTGACAGATATACCCTGTGTGAGGAATTAAGCTATTCTCTATTCTTTCTTGTGTGATATGCCTCTTGATTGCTTGCACAGTTGCCTTGTCTTGACTCTATTTGATACTTCTTGATTCACATGCATGTTTGGATATGATTAAGGCATTTTTGTTCCTATAAGCCTCTAGCCAAATAAGCCTACCTTGAATTAACTCCTTTGATAACCCCTGCTAAGCTGTAGCAGTTTTATGTACAACACCATATTTTCTCAAGAGGCTTTCCAAATTGCGGTTGCAAAAATGCGTCCCTTGATCACTGATGATGGCTCTTGGAATGCCAAATCTGCAGAAAATGTTAGACCTAACAAAATCCACAACAACTTTTGAATCATCAGTTCGAGTGGCTTTAGCTTCCACCCACTTGGATACATAATCAACAGCAAGTAAAATGTAAACAAAACCAAAGGATGTGGGAAATGGACCCATGAAGTCTATACCCCAAACATCAAAAATTTCACAAAATAACATAGGTTGTTGGGGCATCTCATTCCTTCGAGTTATATTACCAGTCCTTTGACATTGTTCACAAGTTTTACAAAATTGATATGCATCATGGAAAATAGTAGGCCAATAAAATCCTGATTCCAAAATTTTCCTAGCTGTTCGTTGGGGACCAAAATGACCACCACATGCATGATTATGACAAAAGCTAAGAATAGAGTGAATTTCATGATCAGGTATGCATCTCCTAATTATTTGGTCACTACCATATTTCCAAAGATAAGGATCATCCCATACAAAATATTTTGCATCACTCTTTAATTTAGCAATGTAAGATTTAGATGCTTTTTTAGGCAGAACATTAGCAACAAGAAAGTTTACCAAATCGGCGAACCATGGAATGATTGTCTGAACTTTCAACAATTGCTCATCAGGAAAAGTATCATGTATGGGTATCGGATCAAGTGGTTGTTCAATTCTGCTCAAGTGATCAGCAACCAAGTTTTCAGCTCCACTTTTATCTCTTATTTCCAAATCAAATTCTTGGAGTAAAAGCATCCACCGTAGTAACCTAGGTTTTGCATCTGGTTTTTTTAGTAGGAACTTCAAAGCAGCATGATCAGAGAACACTATCACCTTGGAACCTAGCAAATAAGATCGAAATTTGTCTAATGCAAAAACAATAGCCAAAAGTTCCTTTTCTGTGGTAGTGTAATTGGCTTGTGCAGCATCCAAAGTTCTAGAAGCATAATATATGACATGAGGTGCCTTGCCCATTCTTTGGGCCAAAACTGCTCCCAGAGCATAGTTGGATGCATCACACATCAGTTCAAAAGGGAGTGTCCAGTATGGTGGTTGTATTATAGGCGTGCTTGTCAAAGCTTTCTTCAGTGTATGGAATGCCTCCTTGCACTTTTGGTCAAAATTGAATTCAACATCCTTTTGTAGCAAGCGAGACAGTGGCAATGCTATCTTGCTGAAGTCTTTGATAAAGCGCCTATAAAATCCTGCATGACCAAGAAAGGAACGCACTTCCCGCACGCATGCGGGGTAAGATAAACTAGAAATAACTTCTACTTTAGCAGGATCTACCTCAATACCTCTTTCAGAAATGACATGACCTAGAACTATGCCTTGTTTTACCATGAAATGACATTTTTCAAAATTCAAGACAAGATTAGAGTCAATGCATTTGTGTAGCACCTTGGATAAATTATCTAGACATGTTTTAAAACAAGACCCATAGACAGTGAAATCATCCATAAAAACTTCCATACAATCTTCTAGAAATTCAGAGAAAATACTTACCATACATCTCTGAAAAGTACCAGGAGCATTGCATAGGCCGAATGGCATCCTTCTGTATGCAAAAGTTCCAAAAGGACAAGTGAATGTGGTCTTATGTTGGTCTTCAGGTGCTATGTGGATTTGGAAGTATCCTGAGTATCCATCCAAGAAGCAGTAATGGGATTTCCCAGCCAATCGTTCAAGCATTTGATCAATGAATGGCAACGGAAAGTGATCTTTTCTTGTGGCTTGGTTCAATTTTCTATAGTCAATGCAAACTCTCCAACTATTTTGCACTCTCGTTGGAATTAGTTCATTGTCTTTGTTTGCTACTACAGTCACTCCAGATTTTTTTGGAACAACTTGAACAGGACTTACCCATTTGCTATCAGAGATAGGATATATGATACCTGCTTGGAGCAACTTAGATATCTCTTTCTTTACTACTTCCAAAATTTGAGGATTAAGTCTCCTTTGAGGTTGCCTTACTGGTTTAGCATCTTCTTCAAGGAGAATCCGATGCATACAGGTAGAAGGACTGATTCCAGGGAGATCTGCAAGTGTCCACCCTATTGCCTTTTTGTTGTCCTTCAAAACTTGTAACAACATCCTTTCTTGTTCAGCATCTAAGTCTTTTGCAACAATGACCGGAAGTTTACAACCTTCTTCAAGGTAAGCATACTTCAAATGATCAGGAAGCGGTTTTAGCTCTAATGCTGGTGGTTGCACAATGGAGGGCAACATTCTGTTTGTTGTTATCAATTCTGCAGCTAAAATTTCTGCATATTTTTCTTTTTTATATTCCTCAGCAAAATTGTTAGTGCTTAAAAATTCTTCTATTTCAGTACAAGCAGCACATTCTGATTTATTGTTTATGCATGAATGACAATTTATGGTATCATCAAGATCATGTATGTCAGGAAATTCAATGCATAAATGGTCATGTGCATAACAATCAACCAAGTCATCCAACAAATCAATGTGAAATACAGAGTGTTCTTCCCTAGGGTGTTTCATGGCATCTAGAATGTTGAACTTGACTATATTATCACCAAACTCTAAGGAAAGAGTTCCAGCATGCACATCTATTTTTGTTTTTGCAGTTTTAAGAAAAGGTCTACCTAAAATGATTGGTACCTTAGTTGTAGTTTCACCCTCCATCTCTAGGATATAAAAGTCAGCAGGAAAAATTAGTTCTCCTACTCTAACTAAGACATCTTCAATTAATCCTGAAGGGTAAGTACTACTTCTATTTGCAAGTTGAATCACCACACCAGTTGGAATTAAAGGACCAAGCCCCAAAGATTTAAAGATAGACATAGGCATGACATTGATAGATGCACCTAAGTCTAACATGGCATTTTCAAATATGCAATTACCTATTGTACAAGGGATAGTGAACGTACCTGGATCCTTGCATTTCTGAGGCATTGGTTGAATGATAGCAGAAACATTCTCTCCCAGACTTATTTTTTCATTCCCTTTCAGCCTTCTTTTATGGGTGCACATTTCCTTCAAGAATTTGGCATATCTAGGGATTTGTTTGATTGCATCTAGCAGAGGAATGTTTACTTCTACCTTTCTGAAAGTCTCAAGCAATTCTTTATCTTTTTCAGCTTCAGCTTTCCTAGTTTGTAAAACTCTTTGTGGAAAGGGTAGTGGAATGCTTGGCTCTTCATCCTTTGACTGGAAAGATTGCTTCTCCTTGTTTTCAGATTTCTCAGATGCAGTGGCAGGTTTCACATCATTTTTAACTTCCACAGTCTTTCCAGATCTAAGTGTGATGGCACTAACATTTCCTGTAGGATTAGGAATAGTTTGAGAAGGCAACTTACTTGATCCTTGTGCTTGAAGTTGGCTTATGGAAGATGCCATTTGTCCTACTTGCTTTTCCAAGTTTTGAATGCTAGCATCAGTTCTTTGTTGGAATTGCAAGTTTTGCATAGCCATTTGTTTTACAAGGTCCTCCAAGGAAGGGTTATTTTGTTGTTGTTGTGGTTGTTGCATTGACTGCCTTGGAGCTTGTTGGAAAGGTTGCCTATTTGGAAATGGTTGTTGTTGTGATGTGTTGTTGTTGCTCCATCTGAAACCAGGATGATCATTGTATCTGGGATTGAAGTTATTTCTGGCTTGGTCATTTCTTGGTTGTGAGGAATTTGGGAAGTTATTTACAGCAGCTACTTCTTCAGGATTATCTTCTTGTAGCTGAGGGCATGCATCAGTTGGATGAGAGGGACAAGCACAAATGCCACAGAGTTTAGCAGGCGCTTGTTTCATCATGGCCAATCCTCGCACCAAAGAGGTCAATTCATCTAATCTATTCTCTAGTCTTTGATGTTCAGTACTAGATAATTGTACCTCATTTACTGACCTTGAACTAGTTCCTCTTGTTGCACCAAATTGTTGTGTGTTGGCTGCCATATTTGCAATCAAGTCTTTGGCAGCAGCAGGAGTTTTATCCATTAGAGCACCACCACTAGCAGCATCGATCATGCTTCTATCCATTGGTAGGAGACCTTCATAAAAGTATTGAATTAGAAGTTGCTCACTGATTTGATGTTGTGGACAACTTGCACATAGCCTCTTGAATCTCTCCCAATAGTCATGTAGTGTTTCATCATTCATTTGCTTGATGCCACATATGCTCTTTCTTATGGCTGCAGTTCTAGAAGCAGGAAAGTATTTTTCTAGAAACAGTCTCTTCATTTCATCCCATGTGACTCTTTTAGGAGGGAGATAATACAACCACTCCTTGGCTGCATCAACTAGTGAAAACTGGAATGCTTTCAACTTTATGCTTTCTTCATTGCTACCAGCGGGTTTCATGGTTGAACATACAACATGAAACTCTTTCAAGTGCTTGTGGGGATCTTCACCTGAAAGTCCATGAAATTTGGGTAACAAATGAACTAAACTTGATTTTAGTTCACAGTCATCCTCATCAGCAGAAAATTGAATGCATAAAGGTGGATTTGAAACATCAGGTGCAGCCAATTGTTTTAGTGTCCTATTATCAGCCATGTTATTGTTTTGATTATTAGAAGTATTTCTAAAAAGTCTTCTTCTAGTTATCCTTAGTGTTCTTTCAATTTCAGGATCCAAATCAAGTAAAGGACTAGTAGAAGATCTTGTCATACACTATACAAAAATACAAAGAGAAAATGAAAATAAAATAAAATGAAAGATATCTAATATAACAAAATGACACCTTTAATCCCCGGCAACGGCGCCAATTTGACGAGAGGTTGTCGAAGCCTCTATCAAACACAAATGTAAAATGAGTTTAAACTTGTAGCACAGTAGTGCCCCAAAGTCGTCTCTCGAGGATCAAAGGAAATTCTTTTTATTATATTAGCAGTATTAACAAAATTTTGGAAAAAAAGGGGGGGGTTTGGAGTTTGATATAATTTTTAGAACAAGAAGTTGAATAATAAACTTAGATGATAAAAACTTCAACTTGTGGATTTTCGTTCTTTGGATTTATCCTTGGTTCAAAATCTCAATCTCAAATAATAATTAAATTCTTGCATTTAAGTTCAATTAGTTAAGCACCAACAAAACTTAAATAGATTCTTTCCAAAGTTCAAGCGAACATTATTTGAGTCCATTAGGTTAGGATCAAGCGTCCAATTTTAATCCCTATTTGGTCTCTAAGTCCAAGAATCCAACAAGCCATCCATTGGAGAACTTAATTAATCAATTCTTGCTTGTCCCAAAGTTAACCAATCAAGCGTCAATTAATTTAGGAGATTCTTCAAATGTTTAAGCAAACATTAAATAAATTGTAAATATAATTTATATATTTAAATATAGTATTTATTTATAATTTATTATAAATTTACGTTATATAATATTTAACATATATTACACATATTAAAATATCAAATTAATCTTTAAAATATAAAAATTAATAATTGACTAAAGGACGATAGGTTGACATAGTTGTCTCATAGTTTTTAGTAGCTTGAAGTATACGCACCAATAGAACAAAATCCCCAGCAACAGTGACCCGAAGAAAATTCCGAGGCCTATTAGTGGCAATGTAAAAGCTTGACTATGAATAAAACTACTGTGATCTTCGTCTAACTCTGCATTGGAAACCTGAAAAAGTTGGCGAGAATGGTGCAAAAACAGTTGATGATGCTGGCCATCAACAATACTATGTCTATGAATTGAAGGGTTGCGGTTGGTCGCGACCAGTGCTGCTGTTGAGAACAAAATCAGAATGCATGCGATTATGGACATCAAGAGTGGCTTTGTCGACATTGTGTTAATTGGTAGAGAACAATTATTAGATAGTTCAAAGTGCCTAATTTATGTATTTTTTTATCGCTTGTGAGAGAGAAGGAACAACGCATCTCAGTCATTGCATGCATGATCATTGTAAATGAAGCAATTGCATGCATTATAGAAAATTATAAATGAACATTATTGTATGCATGATAAATATTAATTAGGATAAAATATGCTTATTCTATTATAATATTAAATCTACAATTTTCATCGCTCTATTTTTAATTCTATAATTTTAATCTCTTAATTTTATAAAAATTTATAATTTTAAAGTTTTTTAGTAAATATTCATCCATTGATTATTAAAAATATAATATTAATTATGATATAATATTAAAAGATAACACAATAATTAATATTTAAATTAATTTATATTTTTATTATTTATTTTTATTATATCTTACTATTTTTATAAGATAAAATTAAAAATTAATAGTGATATTTAATTTAAATATCAATTGTGATGTTATATAGTGAATGTCAAATCGTATATAAGATTATAATTTTAATGATGAATGAATAAATATTTAATAAAGGAAACTTAAATTATGAACTAAAATTTATTGATGAGTGCCAAACAGGCGTTTCTTCTAAAACGGCCTTCACTGCACTAAGGCAGTCCTGTATCATATTTTAATTAAATTTTATATATATCCACGTTCTCAGCAAAGAATCAATCCCATATTTTTTATACCAAACCGGTCTTCATACCAGAATGACGACTTTCTAGGGCCCAACCTTGGTTCAAACCCCTCGTGTAATGCTTTAAAGCCAAGAAAAAATATGTATAGGATGCTTTATATATACGAGTAATTCATAAAAAATAGTTCATGAGAATATTTTTAATAAAAGAGAGTATTGGAGTCATTAAGTCATAATATTCCCTTTCCTAAAATTGCTCCTTAATTTCAAATTCAAAATATTCATTTATTTGTCATTTACTATTGTTGTAACAATCCCTATAATTTAGCTTTATGGTGTAGGTTATAAATACATACCATGTACACATGTTTAGTAAGTTTGGAAATTATTCAATCAAATCCTTTATTCACAGAGAGAACATGAGGTAATTCATATAAAAATTTCCAATTGAGATACAATAGTTCATGTTTTTAACTTTTTTCTTTAAGTTGAGATAAAAATATATTAGAATTATTATGGTTAGAGTATATTAATAATGTTACATTTTTTATAAATATCATTTTTAATTCTTAATTAATCAATTACTACTCCTTCCATTTCTTATTATAAAATATTTTTAATCAAATCATACAAACTAATATAAATAATTATATTAGTTAATTTTATTGAATTTATAAAAAAATCAGGATGTACAAATTATATCCTTCTTATTTATCATTAAATTTTTACAAAATAAAAATATTATTTCATATCAAAATATCAAAAGTTATGCATTAATATCAATAAAATTAGTAAATGACAATTGAAAATTTTTTAAAAATGAGAAAAATATATTTATTTATCAAATTTTATTCTCATTATACAATAATAAGAATCACATATATATCTTCAAAATCTTTAGAACAAAGGAAGAAAAATAAAATTAATATTATATAAAAATTATAAACAAGTTAGTAAAAAAGGACTACAATTTTCTTTTCAATTATGTTTTATAATATATGAAAACATGATAAAGTATTAATTATATCAATATATTATCATTTATACCAACAAGTTAATTATTATTGGTCTAAGTTGAGTTGGGATACCTAGATCGTTTTGTTTGAATTAAAGTGTGAATTAAAGTTTCATATTAGTTAGAATTGGACATGTTAAGTAGTATATAAGTGAAAAAGACTCACCTACTTAATGCCTTAAGGTTTTAGGTTAAGTTGTGGTGTTAAACTCTCTTATGTAACTTACTCATTATCCATTGTATGGAGTGCTTCTTAGTGTAAAAACTCTCCAAAAGTGATATTAGAGCCAATGGTTCGACTGACTTAGACGAGTATTGACCAATATAATTGCTAGTAGATAGACTTAGGTGTAAAGTGAAGTCTCACATTGATTAGAGTTGAACATGTTAAATAATATATAAGTAAAAAAAAAATTATCTACCTAATATCTTAAAGTTTTATGTTATGTTGTCAAACTTATATGATTTACTCGTTATCTATTGTACAAAGTACTTCTTTATGTAAAAACTCTTGAAAACCTTTAAACAATGTCTCAATTCGATAGTTATGGAAAAAAAAAAACTTGATTAAAGAAGATACCACCAAAGGTTATCAAATAATCTTATATGTATTGTAATTTGTCATATAATCCATAATGTTTCCATTTAATGTCTACTTGAATTTTAACATTTATTCATTACTTCACTTAAGAATTTAATTTTTATAAAGGTAATTAACTATAACTAATAGAATAACAAAAAATTTAATGGGTTGGCATAATAGATAAATACTTTACCCTTATACATTGAAGGGACGATTATTTAGCAACAAATTTTATATAAGATAAATTATTTTAGTATGCAAAAGCTTTTCAGATCAGTGACAGTCACATGCATTATACCACCAAAGAAATTATAGCTTATGATCTAATGGGTTTGGATTGCGTGGTTTATTTTATTTCTGTAAGAATATATTGTTAAAAGAGTTTTGATCTATACTCTATGAAATCTAAAATAATTTCTTATTTTTTGTTGTTATATTTGTTTCAGTTAAGCCATATAATTAATCAAAGAGAACAGATTTCAGTTGAATATATTAGAATATTACATATCAAGTTCACAGCATTCCAAATCACATTCTTTAAATATGTGAAAGAAATTAAAGTTGGAAGATTTGGTAATATTAGGATCCATTTGAGTTTCACCGTTACTTAAGTATCTACGATATCTTTTTTTTTTTTTTTATTATCTCGTGGTTTTAGTTAATTTCATTTTTTTAATTAGTATATGATTTATGTTAATGTCATTTAAACCATCTTAAAGGATTTGTCCACGACATGACAAAATTGCAATTTCCTTCTCTTTCATAGTAAAGCCAACAACGTGTCAACTGTAGTCTACCAAACACCTACATAGAAAAAAGAAATCTTTTATTGTATTATGTGTCATTTGTATTTGCAAAGAGAAATGAAAAACTGATGATTGATATTTCAGAATAATAATAATTTGAACTTACTTTTTATACTATCCTAATTTCTTATCATTAAGTCAATTTTAATATTTTTATCTTTATTTTTAATTAGATATTAATGAATATTATTTATTTATTAAATAATTTAAGTAATAAGTAATAATGATTTTAAAAATTACTATTTTTATTATTTGGTATAATTTAAATTTGATTTTTAAATTCAAATATAAATATGTATGTATGTGCACATGTGCTTTTAAATATGTTAAATAAAATGTATTAATGAGTTTTTAATACTTTTTAATGTATATTTGATACTAATTTTTAAATTTAAATAATTATTTTTACATATATTATAAAAAATGTTTCATTCTTATTCTTTGTTTTCATTCCATTCTTTATAACATTTCAAACACAAGAGTGATAAAGATCACGACTTGTTAACTTGTTAAAAATTAGTGGTTAGATTAGACATTTTAGTTAATTGGACCGTCTCATCAACCCATCCGTTTGTTTAATTAAATATTATTTTTATTTATTTTATAATTCAAATATAATTAATGTGTCACTTTCCATTGTGATATAGTCTAATTATTGAAAAATTATTAATACTTGTATAGTAATTATCAAGGACTGTTATAATTTTTTGTTGTTAAAACATTATTAGTAGTAATTTTGATATATAAAAAAAGACTTTTAGTAATTTTTCGTTTATAATTTTGTAGTTGAAAGACAAATTAATATCATTAAATTTGTCAATTATTATAAAAAAATAAAATAAAATTTGAGTTAATGATAAAAATAAATAAAAAAAATTATTTAGCAGGCTAGCTCGTCTCTAAGTGGGACGGACCAAGATTTCTAGTATGCTTTCATCATATAGGTCTGCGCACCCTACCTTGTTTTTGGAGAGTGGATGTAGGAATAAGTCAAAACAGGTAAAGTTGGTTCATTTTGTCATTCTTATCAAGCACATCAAATAAAAAAGGCGCAAAAAAATATACAAATATAGATTGTATAGTTAGAGATAGATTAAAAAATTTAATTAAGACTATTTATATTAACAAGTTGTATATACTTTTCAATAACTCTTTATTTAAAAATTTTAAAGTTAAATATATTTTACTTAAAGCAATTTAGTTTTATGAATGAATAACTTTGAAAAAAAATTCTAAAATATATGCGAATGAGGAAAAAAAAAAACTGAAATCAAAGATGATTTTTTTCTTCTTAATTTTATTGCTATTCATATCAAAATAAATTTCTCCCTTCCTGAAAGCATGTATTTTAACATTTTTAAGCTTCATTTTGTTTTAATTGTTGTGCCCAAAGTGTGTGGGTATCCTCCAAAGTCCCACATTGAGTAGT